TTGCCTGTGGGAATTTCGTATCCTTGATGCCTCTGCCTGGTTGGCTAGCTGAAATAAGCTAATGTGCCCGAGAGTTATGGGAGGACTGAAGGGAAGGCATATGGATAGATGGATCATTTAAGGGTAGTTTGCATAGAAAGCAATGCTATATATATATATATATATATTTTGCGCAGTTTAGTTTCAGTAACTTCTATGAAAAAGTAGCTTAAAACAGGAAGGAAATAGTGTATTATAAAAATATGTTCATGGACCATCTTTAAATAAAAATACAGAAATTTAAAGACTGTGGAGCTACGTGAAGAGAACTATAAGTAAGCATTCAATTTCTTGTAAAAGATCACATTGCTTAAGTCAAAATTATCTTTGGTGGAGAAAGTAAAAAAAAATAGTCAAAGCAAGATTAAAATGTGCACTTTAAAATTTCAAGCATGATAATTTAAGCATGACTTAAGTCAATGTTTTATGTAAGTTTAATTTGTAAGTGAGTAGATGTGTTTATAGCTTCATTGCAACAATTTGATACAATAATTGTTTATACAAAAGCCTTATATATTTTCTGTTATGAACTATATTGGCTCTTTCTTCTGAATTAGAAATTTCATTTAATAGTGGTGTGGAAAAACCCTGTCATCTGAACAAGGAAGAAGAACTGATATAATAGGAAGAAATTAGGTAGAACTGCTACCTTTATGACAAATTAACAAGGTATTTTAGCAATGAGCAAGCATTGGCTAATTAATTTTGAGACCGTGTGAATTACATGTATAATGCTTTGAAAGATGCCCTATTGGTGAAGGAGTTATGTATTTCGTGATGTTCCTATTCTGAACTTTCTGAAAAGAAAGTGGTTTGGACAGAGTTCTGTGAAGAGTTAATTTTCAATGGTCTCTTGGCTCTTGCTGCATCTTTTTATAAATAACAGTTTTGCTTTGAAAAGCAGCTGGCGCAAGTTTAGTCTTCCAGGGACTTGAATACTGTGTTTGTACTACAAATGTCATCTGTTTCACACAAAGTTAATTTTATTGCAGCAGTGCACACTGACCTTTTACAATTTAATATAATATGGTCATCTTGTGTACTGAAATGCAGCACTGCATACAGTAGATGAGAATAAACAAAACGCTGTTCTTAACTAATTTGTAAATGAGTAAAGCATGTTTATGGCAGACTTTAGAGGTCAAAATTACAGTAGATAATGCTTACATAAGTGGGTATTCTTTTCCGGGGCTTTGGGTGACATAGTGTAGTTCATTTTTTTTTCCTATATATTTTGTTTGTTTTTGTTTTTTTGTTTCCTTGTGGAGAATGACATGGGTTAAGATTATAACGTAGAAAAACTTAGGATTCCTGTAGAACAATGCAATGGCACATCCGGGCCGCTGGATTTGTTTGCAGTTACAGGTGTGTCCGTATTCTGCCATTTCTCCTATGCATGTTCTGAATGAATCCTGTGCATGTGCATAAATGATGCAGAGCTAAATCACCACTGTTAGCTTTAACTTCAGGCAAAAGAGTTTTAAAATTGCCTTTCAAGTAATCTGTGAATATGGGGAGCGTGTTAAGTGATCTTGCCTTGTTTTCTTTGTATATATCTGTAAATGGGACCTGTACGTCCAGGTCCTCTGACGTAGACCCTTTGTTGTTCTCAGTTGCATTGCGCTGCCGAGTCATTTCACTTGCTGTGTTGTGGCGCCCTGCAGATGCTGGCTTGCATACTGTAATGTTGCCTGTTTTCTCTTACTACAACATTTTACTGCTTCATATCAGCTTATACTGCATATTTGCTATTGGTTTGACCCTGAAATATTTAATTTCTGACAAGCAGCTGACAAAAGTGTTAATTAATATTGCATTCCAATTGAAATACGTAGTACTGGTTAAGAGCAGTTGGGACATCTCGTGTATTTTTAGTTCACAAACTAGAGGGAGGTTGCTTCACTGACTTGCAGCTGGGTGTGGCATAGGGTTAACCATGTTAATTAAATCTGGCTCAGAGGTTTAGGCTTTAAAAATGGCTCCAAGCCCACATTATATTCTTCTTTTTGCATAAATTTTTCATAGAGAACAATCTGCAGTTCTTAAAATGAGTAGTGCACGAACACCTTCTAACTGGAGAGACTGGCAAGAGTGAGATACAAGGTACTAGAAGAAATTTGCCTTTTTTAAATCACTTTTTTATTTGTGCACTCTTTTTTTTTTTTGGAATTTAACAGATTTTTGTAGAGCTTGTGTTGTAAAACACACATACAGTTTAAGTACATATAAAATATCTGAACTCTTTGTGCTTCTGAGCTTTCTGCAGACCTATGTGTTAATTTTTATACAAACCAACAGTACCAGGCCTTTGTGTATAAATAAGAAACATTTTCATTGTGACAGAACTTTCAAACTTAAGCAGTTTTAAACACATTGACGTTCATTCCATTTTTCTCAGAATGAGGAAAATAGTAAATGAATTTTGTGCAAGCTATCGGATGTTACACCTTTTTATACATTTCTTTTCCTTGTGTACAACTTCACTCCCTCCCAACTCCAATAATTTTTAAAGGCTATATTCCATCAATACCAATGTGTAGGTACGAACAGGCTGAAACTTCCTTGTGGTGGTTTAGGTAAGGACAATAAAAATTTCCTTTGAACCTAATTAGAAAGCTGAGCAATTTCAATCATCAGTAAGTCAAAAAGAGCATACTATTAAAAAAGCAGTATTGTTCAAAAAGAGCGTGAATTTCCTTCAGCAAAGCAGCATTTCTGCTTTATCGCTGGCCTTATGAGTTTTCATAGTTGATATTGTGAATGATGCTATCCTTATGTGGATACAGCTGAAAAAAAAAAAAAAAACCTCACAAACC